AACAGGCTGATCTTTTTTTTTTTTTTCAGGCTTATCTTTAGATGAAGTCCTTATCATCCCATCATGCCCAGGCTAGGAGAACCCATCAAAGATAGAGAATGGAACAAGAGCCAGCTGGTTGGGCATGATACCTTATAAAGAGAGGGCAGAATTCTCCTATGCATGCCTGACTTCTGATCTATTAGCTAGGATTAACTTCAGTGTTTTTTTGCTAGCAATTTATCAGGAAAGACCATAACTTTCTGGACTCAGAAGATTCAATTCCTTATCTCATTTCTTTTTTCTTTTTCTTTTTCCCTTCTTCTTCTTCTTTGTGCTCATTCTGGGCTTGAACTCATGGCCTGAGCATGATCCTTGAGCTTCTTTAGCTCAAGGCTAGCACTCTAGCACGAGAGCCATGGCTCCACTCCTGACTGCTTTGGTAGTTCATTGGAGATAAGAACTCAGACTTCTCATGCCTGGGCTGGCTTCTTACAGAGATCCTCAGATCTCAGCCTCCTGAGTAGCTAGGATTAAAGGCATAAGCTACCGGTTCCACTGGTGCAGGATTAAAGGCATAAGCTACCGGTTCCACTGGTGCAGTGTTATTTCTAGTGTCTCTTTTTTCTTCTGTCCAGAGCCCTGATTCCTATTACCTTGGTTTTGTCACTTGTGGGGGCTGAACTCTGGGCCTGGGCACTGTCCCTCAGCAATTCAGCGCAAGACTAGTGCCCTACCACTTGAGCCACAGCACCACTTCTGGATTTTTTCTGCTTATGTGGTGCTGAGGAATCGAACCCAGGGCCTCATGCATGCAAGGCAAGCACTCTACCACTGAGCCACCTTCCCAGCCCTATTACCTTGGTTTTTGGAATAAAGTTTGAACCATATCATTCCTCTTTCCAGAAACAATGCCTTTTTACAACATACCATTTTATCTTTAGAACAAGTCTGTAAGGTTGATAAAGCAGGAGTGATTTATGGTACAGAAAGAGGAAGCCACTTACTTGCCCAAGTGTTTCAAGATCCTTCATCTCAAGGCTTTTACCTCTACTCACAGTAGAAGGCTCTGCTTATAAAAATAATACTCTCTCTCTCTCTCTCAGAATCTACATGTGAGGGGCCTCAAATGATATAAGTCATCAGGCAAGGTCAAGAGATCAAGCAGTCTTTTCCTGTCAGGCAGTTCTACAAAGTGGGGAAATCTAGAATCAAAAGACATGATGTAAGTCCTGAACTTGCCATTTACTCACTAGAAGATCCTGGGCAAGACATTTAGCCTCTGCAACTTAAATTTTGTAGAACAAAGACTATTGTAAAAATCAAACAAGATGGGGGCTGGGAAGGTGGCTCAGTGGTAGAGCGCTTGCCTTGCATGCATGAGGCCCTGGGTTCGATTCCTCAGCACCACATAAGCAAAAAGAAAAAAAAAAAAGAATTAAACAAGATGATGTATGTGAGAACTGTAAAGCACCAGAGAAGTGTTAACTTTAACATCTCAGTCAAATTTACATATTTGGAGACTCTTTATGTAAAATAAAGATGGTAATCCTTCTTTGTTCTTGAAAATATTTTACAAAGGTATTAGTAGCTTATCTCTGGAGTCAGGCTGCCTGGATAACCTTGAGCATTTCCCATCTCCTAGATGTGATCTTGAGAATTAAATGAAATAATGTGTGTACATTGTTTAAAATGTCCTTGGCATAGAGAAAAGAATTTAATAAATGTTAGTTGCAACCTTTACTGAATTTATTAATGAAGATGTGCACAATAAGACAGAGATCTGAACTCGGAATAAAAAAGATTCACCCTGGGGGCTGGGAAGGTGGCTCAGTGGTAGAGCTCTTGCCTTGCATGCTCAAGGCCCTGGGTTCGATTCCTCAGCACCACATAAGCAAAAAGAAAAAAGCCGGAAGTGGCGCTGTGGCTCAAGAGGTAGAGCGCTAGCCTTGAGCAGAAGAGCTGAGGGACAGCGCGCCCAGGCCCAGAGTTCAGGCCCCACGACCGGACCCAAAAAAAAAAAAAAAAGATTCACCCTCTACCAGGCACTGGTGGCTCATGCCTATAATCCTAGCTACTCAGGAGGCTAAGATCTGAGGATTGTTGCTCAGTCAGCCCAGGCAGGAAAGTCCTTGAGACTCTTATCTCTAGTCAACCACCAGAAAACTGGAAGTGGAGCTGTGACTCAAGTGGTAGAGCCTTGCCTTGAGCTGAAGAGCTGAGAGACAACTCCCAGGCCCAGAATTCAAGCTTCACAACAGAAAGAAAGAAAGAAAGAAAGAAAGAAAGAAAGAAAGAAAGAAAGAAAGAAAGAAAGAAAGAAAGAAAGAAAGAAAGAAAGAAAGAAAGAAAGAAAGAAAGAAAGAAAGACCTAGCTAATCAGGAGGCTGAGATCTGAGGATTGAGGTTCAAAATCAGTCCCTATAGGAAAGTCTGTAACACTCTTATCCTCTTATCCCCAATAAACCACCAGAAAACTAGAAGTGTCACTGTGGCTCAAGTGAGAGAACTCTATCCTTGAGCTGATGAGTGAGCTCAGGGACAGTGCCCAGGCCCATGACCGACCAAAAAAAAAAAAAAGATTCACGCTCTTTGGATTTCAGTTCCCTATTTGTACTATGATAAAAATTTACGGTTTTCCTATTCCAGAAAATCATAAAGGTTCTTATTTGTTTCGTGCTGCTCCTGGGGCTTGAACTGAGGGCCTATGCACTATCCCTGAGCATTTTCGCTCAAAGCTAGTACTCTACCACTTGAGCCACAGACCCACTTCCAGCTTTTTTGATGCTTAATTGGAAATGAGAGTCTCACAGACTTTCCTTCCCAGGATGGCTTTGAGCTGGGATCCTCAGATCTTAGACTCCTGAGTAGCTAGGGTTACAGTTGTGAGCCACTAGCACCCACCGTGAGGATTTTTTTTAAGTGCATGAAAACTTTGAGTTGAATGAAATTTAGAGACAATATAATTTATGGGGTGTGTGTGTGTGTGTGTGTGTGTGTGTGTGTGTGTGTATAGTATAGTGTTGGGATTGAACCACAGAGCTTTGTTAGGCAAGCACTCTAGCATATTTGTCTGTGTGTGTATGTGGGGGCTGTAGAGTACTCACGCTTGAGCTCAGGACTCTGAACTTCGGTACTTAAAGACAGTGCTCAAGCACTTGAGCCACAACTCTACTTCTGGCTTTTTATTTTATTTTATTTTAATTTTTTTGTCAGTCGTGGTTCTTGAACTCTGGGCCTGGGTGTTGTCCCTCAGCTCTTCAGCTCAAAGCTAGTGCTCTACCCCTTCAAGCCACAGTGCCACTTCCAGCTTTTTCTGTTTATGTGATGTTGAGAAATCGAACCCAGGGCCTCATGCATGTGAGACAAGTACTGAGCCACTTTCCCAGCCCTACTTCTGGCTTTTTATACAGACTAATGACTAATGAACTTTATCAGTTCATCAGTTTTGTTTATTTCTGTCTGCTTTTGGTAAGGTTGTCCTCTTTATGGAAAAGGAGTATAGCATTTCTAAAGCCAATTAAAAAGAGAAGAGATAGAATTCGTCTATCTTGAAGCAAATCCTTCACACCTGCAAGAGTACTGTCTTTGCAAAGAAAACTTTTCTATAGTATGTCCTATTGCCTCAATTTGTTCTGTGGATGTAGGCTAATTTTAATATTCAACCAACACTTCAATTCCCACTTTGAGTATTGTCTGCTTTCAATATTTAATCCCAGAATGACCTCTCTTTGCCTCATAGCGCGTTCCCAGTTTACCTCCTTTCTCTGATTAGTTAGTGTGGCTTTAGGGAATACCTTCTTTTTAACACTACGCTGGGCAAAAACAGAAATAGATTTCAAGAAATCTGAAGCAAGATCAAAAATAGAACTCAGCTAAATATAAGTCTAGAGAGAATTATCCAATTACTTGGACGGTCCCTAATCACAGACAATCCAGAGTTGATTGACTAGTTTTTGCCAATATGGAACAAAATGAATTAACATATATTAAGCGTAATATCTTTTTCTTTTGAAGAGTAATGACTCTTAGTAGTACTTAATTGCTGTTTTCTTCCCTCAATTTCTTCATATATTTTATAGCATGTGATTTTCACAAATGCTTGCATTCTCTTTTGGGACCATTAGTCTTGTTTTGACTTGTAGGGCAGAGAGCATTGAACAGGGAAGACCAGGTTTTGCTAATGGAGTTACTATGCAAACTTGGGCAAGTTTCTCAGTCACTTTGTTCCTTTCACTCTGTGAAAATAGACTTCCAGTGGACCACTCTGAAGAGAAAATTCCTAACTCCCTTTCAGAGTTCCAATCCATTGGATAATAGTTGTTATCGAAGTAGAGAGTTGGAAACGTGGAGAAAGACAAATGTTGAGTGTCACGTGAGACAAGGTAGCTATAAAGCGTGAGAGTATAATACAAATCACATGCAAATGCTTTACAAGCTTTGCATTAATTTGCAGAATCTTAGCAAGCACCACAGAGATCCTATGAAGATTACAGTTAATGTTTTTAAGTTAAACTAAGTGTAATGCCTTTTGAAGTTACCCTTTTCTTTATGTTACTGGGATTTAACTGCTCAAAGTTGGACACCCCACCCCTATAAAAATTTCACTAGTGTTTTATTACAACCTACGCCCAGACCCGCCTCCTGCAGAGCTTGACGTCACGTGACATCATATTTGCATACTACCTGGTCTGGGTGTAACGTTCCTCCTTCCTGGGACTTTTCATTGGCGGCTCTGGAGAACCAGCCCTCCTCGGGTAGGACCAATCAGCACCTTCTTGGGTGTAAGGAAGCAGGCGGGGACTGGGGTGGGGGTGGGGTCTTGGGTTGGATCGCTATGAACGTCGACCAATCATCTTTGGAAACGGAAGATCTTACAGTTAATTGGTTGAGAGGTGGAGTCTGGGGCTCCGTAGGCCAATTAGAGTTCTGAGCTGAGAGAGTCGATCACCGCCCCGTAGAGCAGATAAGTAGCTGCGGCGGGGGTTGGGGGCTGTGTGGGGCTCGCTGTGGGGCCGAGGCAGGCGGGTGGCCGGGAGGGTGATGGCAGGGGCCGCAGCAGGCGGCAGGGGCGGAGGTTCCTGGGGGCCGGGGCGCGGAGGGGCCGGGGGACTCCGGCGGGGCTGTTCTCCACCAGCCCCCGCCGGCTCCCCCAGGGCTGGGCTGCAGCCGCTCAGGGCCACAGTCCCCTTCCAGCTGCAGCAGCCGCACCAGCGCCGGGACGGGGGTGGCCGTGCAGGTGAGCCGGGACTGGAGCGGGTACTGGGGGGAGGAGCCGTTGGGGGTCAGGGGGTAAGAGGGTGAAGGGGACGGGGGGGGGAGGGGTACCGGGAGAAGTGTTAGAGGAAAGTGGACGGGGGGCGAGGAAAGGTGGTGGTGGTGGGGCGCGCAAAGTCTGCAAGGGCGGAGGAGCGGAAAGCTTTGGACGTGGGGTGCAGCGCAGAGGCTGAGGGTGCCGGAGTTGGGGCCGGGAGGTGAGGGGAGGAACCTGGCGGACCGAGGCTAGTTTGGGGGGCGTAACCGAAAAGTGGCAGAAGTGCCGTACGGGGATGAGTGGAAGATTCGGGGGATGGGAGCGAGGTGTGAGGAGGGGCGGGGGCGGGGGGGGGGGGGTGATGCGCCCTGTGCTGTGGGTTGTGCTGGGAGCGAGGAGCCGGTGGGCGCTGGGCGTCTGTCTGCACGAGAGGGGGAGGGGCATGGAGGAGAGCCTGGTGGAGCCATGTGTTACTTTTCCAGCTTGAGTTTGGCCCCAGCATCCCACTCTACAGCTCTGGAGTTCCTTTCTCCACCACTTCACCACTTCACGTGCGCTTCCCTTTATGCCACCTTCTGGAGCAGATTGTATCACAGCCGGTTGGAATAAGTTAGTTTAACGGTTTGTACTGCGGTGCAAATGCTCCGCTTCCGATTCCCTACAGTTGTAGGTTCCCAGATCGTCGACCTGCTTAATATGGCTGTCTGATTCCAACTATCCTGTTCGTGCCTGCATGTGTTTAGGACTTGGGCATTTTGCCTCTGCCTCCCCCTCCCCCCAATGTTGTATTGTCCTGAGCATTGCCAGCCAACGTGGCAGTGGGGTGAGGGCTGCAATCAAATATGTTGTGGCAAATACCCTACACTCTGAACAACACCGAAACAGGTTTTTGTTTTGTTTTTGTTTTAATAGTAACTTGGTGTATGGTGAGTGTGGAGAAACTAAGGAGGAGCAAGCTGAACCTTGCTTTCACACTCAAAGCTGTGAGGGGACCCACAAATGCAGTCACTTAGAAACGGAAAAGGAACCTACTTGTGTGAAGAGGTTGGCAGTAAGTTGAAAGTGAGGCTTGCATTTGATTTACACCAGATGTGAAAAGATCATTGCACACTTCCAAAGCCCCAGTCTGTACCAAATGTACAAAAGTCATGACTCTGACATCTTAACAGTTAATGATATTGTCTAAACCATGGTCTCTTGAGCTTCTGGAGATTGCTAATCTTAGTTGCTGCATGTCCTCCTCTGGAAACTATAGGTGTTACAGTGGCTTGCTAGATAGGAATGGTCTTTGAGGTCTTTGAGGTAGAATGCCCTCCTGTTTTTCTGGACGTCACTGTGTATCTTAATATCACATTTTAGAATGCAGAAACTTGGTAAAAATCTGGTAATAAGATGGTGACCGAGCAGTAAAAGTATTTGTAGAATCTGGTGGAGTAGAAGAAGGCAATGCCCAGACAAATTCATGCCTATCATGAACTGTAAAGCAAACCACAAGACTACAAACCTGTTGGTTTTGTTTGGGCTTCCTTGAAACCAAGGGAAGTTATTAGAACAACAAGCACCAGAACCTTGGTCACTTTCAGTAGAAATCAACAGAAAGCTTTCCTGTGTAGTAGCTGAAAACTGATTAGCAATCATATTTTAAGAGAAGTTATTTGGTGCATGCTACATAGCTAGTATAAAGGACAAACACTGGTAGGTGCTGTGCAAAAGGGAAGAATGTACGTTTGGATGCTTGGGTCTTTTACATGATTTGCTCCTTTTGTAGGGTCAGGGGTCCTAATATACTGATGAAAACATAGCTGCAGCTCTGCATAACTTGCCAGGTGGCTCAGGAAAAATTTAGTGGACTCATTATATATTGGGTTCATCCATTGTTTCTCCACCTATTAATATGTTCAGGTATTAATAAAGCATTTGTCTTTGTATAGTGAGATTATCTGTGGGTTTTCAGTAAGGTAGGAGAAAGAAAAAAGTAAAAGAATTGATTGCCAGGTGTCAGTAGCTCATGCTTGTGATCCTAGCTACTCTGAGGATGGAGGTTCAAAGGCAGCCCAGGCAGGAAAGTCCATGAGACTCTTATTTCCAATTAGCCACCAAAAGGCCAGAAGTAGAGTTGTGGTTCAAGTGCTAGAGTGCTAGCATTGAGTACAAAAGTTCCAGGTTCTGAGTTCAAGCTTCAAGACTAGCACAAAAATAGATAAATAAGAATAGCCTAAGCCAATGGACTTCTTTGTGGTCAGAAATTAAGGGAATGAATTTGGTCTTTGGTTTGGAGTCTTTTGTATGTTACTGTCAACCTTTACATGGCTTTGGAATGTGGCTTCATGAAGTGTGTGGTTTTCTTTAGACTAGTAGCACATATGTAATAGAAAAAGGAAACCCCTTACTATCTAAACACTTTAAGAGAATGGTGTTGGTAGTCACAATGCCTACGTTTCAGATCCAGGTTCTGCCATTTACTAGTTGTGTGGTTTTGGGGAAGTTACTTGACATCTGTGTTTCACTTTCCTCATCTGTGGATAATGTCTACATTCTAAGAATCAAATAAATCAACAAAGTGCTTAGGACAGTGCCTAGAACACAGAAGATGCTGTTAGAAGTATTTGTGGCTGCTTACATTGTTATTCCCTCTGCTGAACCAATGTGAGAGCACTGTTGGCTAGAGCCCATTGCCTTTTCAGGCTTCAAAGAGCAAACCCAGATTGGTTTGAAACCAGTACTGCAGGTTTCAGAATTTCAAGGCCTCCTGTTGCATTTTTATTCCCTCATCTTTTAAAATGAGCTCTCTTAAACAGCATTCTGAAGCCCAACTGTTTGAAAAAGCATATGAGCTGGGACTGGGTTTCAGGAACAATTAAGTGTCGTCACTGTTTCTGTTTCTCATCCCAAAATGATGTAACACTCCACTGTGCAGTTATCTCACACTGCACACCCTGCTGTGTTCTTGACAAGATAGATTAGGCCTTGCATAAAGGGTTATGGTGTAAAGAGTGAATTTACCTTCTGCGATCATTCATCCATAAGGAATGTCTTCATAAAGTGAGGAACAATTTCATTTTTATGAGACTGGGCAAGGAGTTAGTAAGACAGAGAGTAAAGAGAAAAACAAGGGTCAAGTCTAAGTTAAGAGTTAGCCAAGAGTGGGTAATAGGAACCAGGATAAATTTCTTACTGCAGTTGCCCTGGAATTAAGTTCACTTTTGTATCTTAGGTCAGCTAGGGGCTGCTAACTTTGTGTTCTTCCAGGACTATTAACAATAGACAAAACAAAATCGAGTAGGAGGCAAAATTTTCTGGGTTCTATTCTACCCATCTTTAGAATGAAAATAATGCATTTTTACTGTTGTTTGTTTTGTGTGCCTAGGATTGAACTTGAGCCATTTTATATACTAGATAAGGCTTCTACTACTGATTTATACTCCCAGCCCCATGAAGATAAATTTAATATAGCTTTGCTAATTATCCCTCCAATAGAATAGCCCCACTAGGGCTTTGGAGCTAAATGCTGCCTTAGAACCTCTATAACCCACCAGAACCTTCTCTTTTTTTTATTGTTGTTGGTCATGGGGCTTGAACTCTGCCTGGGCCCTGTCCATCAGCTCTTCAGCTCAAGGCCAGTGCTCTACCACTTGATCCACAGTGCCACTTCCGGTTTTTTAGTAGTTTATTTTGGAGATAAGACTTTCCTGCCCGGGCCGGCTTTGAACCTCAGATCTCAGCCTCCTGAGTAGCTAGGATTACAGGCAGGAGCCACTGGCACTTGGTTGCTTTGGTTATTTTTAAGATAGGGTCTTGCTTTGTACCTGGGCTGCCCTAGGCTGTGATCCCATTACTTGTGCTTTCTGTGTTACTGAGGATATTGCTGTGGATGACAGGTGCTTACCACTGCTCCCAGACATTGAGTAAGAGTTTCACAAACTTCTATGCTCAGACTGGTCTCCCGCCATGATTTCCTCAATCTCTGCTTCCTGAGCAGCAGGATTATCGCTTGAGCAACTGTCTGGCCTGATGCCTGTTTTTTAAATAAAGTTTTATTGAAACCTGGCCACTTTGATTTAAGGCATTATCTTTGGCTGCCTTTATACTGTTGGTATATCCTAATTAAGGGCTGGGAAGGTGGCTCAGTGGTAGAGTGCTTGCCTTGCATGCATTAGGCCCTGGGTTCAATTCCTCAGCACCACATAAGCAGAAAAAGCCAGAAGTGGTGCTATGGCTCAAGTGGTAGAGCACTAGCCTTGAGCTGAAGAGCTGAGGGACAGCACCCAGGCCCAGAGTTCAAGTCCTGTGATCAGAAAAAAAAAATCCTAATTAATTAAATGTGGCTCTTTATAGAAAGCTCTGCCTACTGTTATCCCTAACAATGTACCTAACTATAATTACTCCTATGTAAAGATCAGCTTCAAATGAGTGGAATGCAGACTTCCTCATAAAACCCTGAGATGGGAAAGAAAACTAATAATCCTGTATTCCCTACTCATTTTTAGGAGAAAGGGGACAATCTGTTTCCAGTCAGTTTGCAGTCTTTGTGGAGGATCAGCATGTATGACTCTAGACTCCTCCCAGCCTCCAGTTGTCAGGTGACATGTGTTCAGTAGACATAGCTAATTTGAATTTTCATAAAGCTTAACTGTCAGGCAAATTTGTTCCTTCTCTCCTTAACCTCACAGTTCCAACTGTTTTCAGTGAATACATTTCAAAATCAGATGGAAATCACTTTAGGAATATCTCCTGTTTTCCGTTTTTCTCATTACCTTTTCGTTTTCTGAATAGGTTATTGTGAGCTGGCAGTAGTTATGGTTGTCCTAAAATAGTGATTTCCCCATAGGGACATAGGAAGAACAGTTTATGTCATATGTCGAATATTTAAGTTCCCCAGCATGGCAATTTTGTGAATATAAGGCAGCATTGTTATTAAAAAAAGCTATTGATAATTATTAAACTCCTTTCCTCAAAATGCTTTGAAAACTTAGCCCTTAGGGGAA